GGGGGGGGGGGGAGGATCTGGTGACGTCAGCTGTTTGTGCTACTCTGCACGGATCACTTTCCAACCATCTCAGCAAGTTTGTTCTGCAAAGCACATGCGCACAGTCCCTTCCCCCTGAGCTCCCGCCACTTGGCTCCTCTCCTAGCTAGAGAGGTAGAAGAAAAGGTTCCAGAGTGGGCAGCTGCCTCTGTCCTTGGCATCACAGCAAGGGCTTCTCTCCTTATAAAGCCCACAACACCAGAAACCTATTCCACCCCACCCCGGGCCCTCCAGGGGCAGGGGAGAGACTTCTGAGCTTGAATATGCTCTGTTCCTGTGGTGCAAAGAAGGAAGTGGACTTCTTACCTGGAGGCAACTTCCTCAGGCATCCCACCTTGTCCCCTGAGAGTTTTGCTGGACATTGCCCTTCTGCCCCATGAGCCAGAAACCGCCTCCACTTTCAGAGCAAGGAGGGGCGGAGCTGCCAACCATAGCCCTTCCCTTTCAAGGCAACACAGTTCCAAGGGAACATCCCAAGAGAGAACAAAAAGGTGGCTGAGGAAGGGCACCACTAGAGTCCCCAAAAATTAGGGCACGTTAAATCGGTGGGCCTTTGTGACACCGCAAGACACACTTGTTTCCACACTTTCTAAAGTTACTATTCAAGGGTACGTCAAGGGTACTTTTAGATAAGCTTAGAAGCATTCTCAGAACTTTGTTAATTGTATGCCACTCCTATCAATCATAAACAAACCACACAATGAGTTACTTTTCAAACATGGCAACAAGCAGCAGCAATACCTGTTCAAATGTTCTAATGAGGAGTGAGAATGATGTTAAAAAGCAACTTTCCAAGTTCTGTGGATTTTCCACCAGTTCAAACCCTCCACAGATGCTCTTGCCCCTCTCCCTTCCAAGGCACTGATCGCAGCCCTGCCTGATAGCCCTGTGGCCATTTTCTGGTTTACCCACTTAAGGAGAACTTGGATAGGAAGGCAGGGAAGCCACAGTCAAGTGTTGCCACTATTGTGCCCAGCACCACTCCTGCTACCTTCGTCTTCCTGCCCCAAACTAAGGCCTGCACTTTACTTTCCTCCTTCTCTAGAGTGTCTCCAGTGCTTTTGAAACAATATATAAGAAGCAAGGACTGCTGGGACTGTGGCGAGGGGTGAGCGGTGCTGTGCCTCGGGTGATGGTGGGCTCGGCTGTGCAGCTGGCTACTTTTGCTTCCGCCAAGGAGTGGGTCAGGAAGCACAAGGTGAGGAAGAAGAGGGGCTCTCAACTTGGGCGAGGTGCCTGACGAGGCTTAGCCTGGGGCCCCTTAATTCCAGCAAGAACACATTTATTGGATGATCAGCATTGCCTCTCAGATGGTAGGTGAGCTTGGCAGTTCGAGGTCAGGGGACTGAGATATGGGTGGCCTGGCAAAGAGATGGCAGAGAGACAATAAGACAGCCCTTCTGATACCTGATGCTGCTATCACATGGGAAATGGTGTTCTGCTACTCCCGAAGACAGGGCCCAAACCAATGGATCTGAAATACAAGGAAACTGGTGGTGACTACCCATTAACAGGGAGTGCTTGGCAGAGGAATGAATGGTCTCAGAAAGAGGTGGATTCTCCCTTCCCTGGAGGTTGCTGACATGGGAGCTGGATGGCAGTCTATCAAGAATACTTTAGCTGTGAATTTATATTGGCAAGAGCTGGATGGGATGGCCATCAAATTCATTCCAGTGTTGCAGTTCGATGATTCTATAGCAGCCGAGTAATGGCTGTCCTCTCCCGTCTGCAGAGGTTCCAAGAAGACAGCTGGCTGGTGGCCCTGTCGGGAGGCATGATCAGCAGTGTGGCTGTGGCTGTGGCCATGACGCCTTTTGATGTAGTCAGCACCAGACTCTACAACCAGCCGGTGGATGAGAAGGGGATGGTAAGGACTTCCGGAGGCCCAGAAATGGCTGGATAAAAAAGGCATTGTTGGATGGCTCTTGGCCATAATAGCCAAAGAGAACCTCCACCCTTCCAAGCTGCTAGCCCAGGAGTGGGGCCTTTTAATGCTCCAGATGATCTGGGCTTCATCTCCTGGAAGTTTCAACCAACATGGGATTATGGGAACGGTTGCCTAAAACATCTGGACGACCAAGGACTACCCACCCTTAGGTAGTGAGTGGGTGGAGTGGCTCTTTCAACTCTGCCTGAGCTCTTGGAAAAGTGGGAGAAATACCACAAGACAGCTGTATAAAAATGTCTTTATACAACTCTATGGTGGGCTGCACCTGGAATACAATGGCCAGTTCTGCTTCTTCTTTTCAGAAAGGAGATACCTCAGCAGAAAAAAAGACCATGAACAACTGGGATCACCAAGAGCTTAGGGCACGGTTCCATCCAAGACAGACTCTAATTTTGTGGGCTTTCTCGTTTAGAAAGACAGTGACAAAACCTGACAAGCTTTCATAAAATTACACATTGCAGGGAGAAAAATGCTACACATTTTTTTTTCATATCTCCTTCCCCTAGAACTTGGAGTCAGGCAACAAAACTGCTTTGTTCTAGATAAAACCACTAGGTCTGAAGCATGACTGCTCAGATGATGTGGAATTAAGCTTCCAAGTTTGCAGCAGTGAACAGATAGTGGCAACTGATTACTGGAAAAGTCAAATAAATAAATGGATAGAAGAAGAGGAGTGACTGTTCATGAATATGAGTAATGCCAGCTATATGGGACCTTATTGTGCCAGTAATGCTTAATAACCCTTTGGGAGGGACATAGCAACTAGGCGAGGAAAATCCTGTATGTGGGCTTCCTCTGTGGATTAGAATATGGAACATCTGTGGGAAATGGTGTACAATGATGCCATAGGCCTTTGTCTAATCCTGTGGGGCTTTTAGTGTATGCCTACAGAAAGACAAACATACAGCCAGAGGAGCTAACCACAGTCTTCTTCTCCTTCCTGTGACCACCAGGGCAAGCACTACCGTGGCTTCTTTGACTGCTTCCTGCAGATCTCCAGTAAAGAAGGCCTCCTGGCCCTGTACAAAGGAATTGGACCTGCTTACCTCCGCTTGGGACCACATACCATTCTCAGCCTCCTCTTCTGGGATGAACTGCGGAAATTTACATACAAGCACCAGGGCACCTGAAAAGGATAACCCTCTCCGTGTGCTGTTGAAAGACAACGACAGATACCATCTCCACCTCACAGGGTTGGGACGAAAACTGTGGGTGAGGTGGCTGGCACCCTGACTTTCCCAGACAGATCTGGGATGTTCTGGCCAGTGCAGCCCTGCTCCATTGAATGGGTCCTTCTCTCTCTCTGTACAAATGCCAGCCAGAGCTGCTGCTCCAGAGTAAGGTGTCCCTTCCTTACCGTATAATTAGACAAAGGATATGGGAAATAGGCTACAGCGAAAAGGATGTGGAGAGATATGAAGGAGGAAACGAGGAGGAAGAGGAAAGATAAAGAGATAGACAAATCAACAACCAGGTAAATGTATCTGGCAAGGGTTCAGAGGACACCTCTGCTGCTGCTTACAAGCTGAAGGCTACTGGCATGGAATGAGGGGACTACTTTCTCCAGGCCATCAAACTGCAAAGAAGGGAAGAGAAGAGGCCCTGACAGCAGACATCTTCCCACAGCATCTTGGTTAAAGAAGGCCAAAACCATCAGAGGGAACTAAGATCATGCTGCTGCTGAGCTTCTGACATTTGGGCCCTGCCAAGCTCCTTTCTGCTCTTGCATCTTGCAGAAAAGAGGGTTGCTAGCAGAAAGTCTGAAGCAATTGCTCGGCTAAGCAGTGTTACTTTTTCCTCACACCAGCTGCTGTAACTGGAGCCCTGCCAATGAGCTCTTCTGGCTCTACCTAAATAAAAGATGTTTTCCTAAGTTGTTGCATTTACAGGATGCTTCTAGAGTTCTTGCTTTTTCTTTCTGAGTTGCTGTTTCTAGTTTTTTTTTATGGCCAGAGTTTAAGTCTACAGAAGTCAGTAAGAATGGGGTTTCACCCTCCTCTATTCTCTTTCTTCTCTTGGTTATGTTAAACGCAGATAAACACATGAGGCAAAAGGGTGCAAGTTTCGAGCTGAAAGGCCACAGTCCAAATTTCACCTGAGTCATATAAACAATGTGGCTCTTGGCACATTGCTTTCCAACTTGGTGTACTCCTGCCCTAGCACCAACTATAGCTTAACAACAAAGCTTGGAAGAGTTAGTTTTTGGACTAAAATGAGTCTAAGGGTTATAGTCCTGTCCCTTCTCTTGCCCCCCGAAAAAGGCTTCCAATCTCTACTTCACGTGCACAAAGTCCTAGCTCAAGCTTGCTTTCATCTTTGTTTGTTTGTTTTAATAACAACAGAAGAGTTTGGCATAAGAGAATGGGTATTAGGGAGAGGAAAGATCTGAAAGTAGGAAGAGGCCCTCTACCAGGTGCTGGAGAAAAGGAGCCAGAGATGGCCAGGATGCCTTCGTGAATCCCTCCTCTGCACTTGTCATGAACAGCCAAAGTTACCTGCCTGGAAGAGGCATGTGGATGAGCAACAATATGCCACATGGGCATCTGTGAGCACTTGGGATCAGCTGATAGTGCCGCCCTGCAAGAGAACACTCTTAGGTGGGTGGGGAGAGGGCTTTGGGCTGACTCTTCACAGCCACTGAGATGTCATTGTGGAGGTGGTGCCAATGCATATCAACTGACCAATCAGGACATGGAGACAGGCCAGAGAAGGGAAAAGAAGCTGCAACCAGCATACAAGTAAAACCAAAAGCTACACAGGAGCCCTGGAAGGTCACTCTTGCCCACAAGGGCTCTCTGCCTGGAAAAGGGACAGCCAGTCCTTCTCTCCTCTCGAGTGGAATAAGGCCAAGACATTTCACCAGCAACTGATGACCAGCAGGTTTCTCTCCTAGAAGTGATTCATATAATTCACTACTTGGGTAGAAGACATTAAATAAATGCATTGAACTACAACTCTCCCACCCCAAGTAAATAACTATACACCTCTTTGCCAATGTAGGATTAATATTTACTTCATCGTTACTTTTCTATTCCATCTCCCCTTCCAAGAGCTCAAGGCACTTTGTCCTCAAAACAACCACCCTGCAAGGCAGGGAAAGAACAAGGGAAAGCCCCACCACCATGATCTCACAAGTTTAATCCAGTGCTCTGACACCACACTGGCCCTATGCTTCATACACCTGACCCGCTGGACTCTAATTCATAAGATCTTTAGCCAGAAGCTCCTGAGATACATTTCCTACAAAAACTGAGCAGGGCTTCTTCTTTGGGAATTAATTAATTAATTAATTAAATTTATACCCCGCCCCTCTAGACCATGTCTACTCGGGGCGGATTACAACATAAAATAAATCAATATAAAATATATATAATCATAAAAATACAATTGCTATACAAAATAGGCAAGCATACTTTCTTACATACCCAAACATCTTCTGCAAACATTGATCAACTGAGAGGCTCTCTCCCTTCTTTTCACTTGCTCAGTTAATCCATGTATTTGGGACAGGCGGTGACTTTGGGATTTTTCCTTGAAATGGACAAGCTGAGCAGCTACTGTACCCCTACCGCCATCTAGTGCCCGCCAACAATATGGTTCCATCCCAAGGGCGGAGTGTCTCCTCATAGGATCTGTTCAACTAAACAAGACATGATCCAGTGTGCGTAATAGAGAGAGAGAGTAATGTACTAGGACTCAGGAGGCCTCGCTTCGAATTCCCATTCAGCCATGGAAACTCACTGGGGGTGAGGAACTTACAAAACCACTGCTTAAATATCTCACGGTTTCGACTTCAACAACAACACACAAACTAAGCCTTATACCTTAATGCTGTTAACAGCAAAGAGCTACCCTAGCCACTGAGTGACTATCCTCATGTGTGGGGTAGGGGTGGAGAGTTCAGGCAGCCATCCTATAACAAATGGCCTCTCTGCCACTCGAGAGCACTGTTAGATCTTTATAGAGACTTGAAAGAAAGGCAGTTTTCACAAACAAAGTATAAACCAACCTTGGCAGAGCTCTTTTAAGTTTGAAAGGGAGTTGGCCTCATCAATACCAGGAGAGCATATTTCAGATCAAATGTGTTTCAGACCAAAGAATAAATGTAAAATACAATACAGTATACCATTATATTGTATATAATGGTATATGCGGCTAAAAATATTGTAAATAAATAAATAAATAAATTTCTAAACATGAAAAAAAATGTCCTCCTGATCCAATGCTCTTTGCATCTTCTCTGCCCTGCTTTCTCTTCTTGATACAACACTGAATATTGTACAATATCTGTTGCCACCCATATTGATTTGCTGTAAGTGGCTCGTGCAATTTTCATTTGTGGGCTGCCTGGGTATAAGTGAAGTGAAGGAAAATGCATGCAGGACTTTTATTCCAGGCTAGTGCTCGAGGACATGGTAGACATCAACAGCATAATGAAAGCTGTTAATAAGCAGAACACTGTGGATATTCTAAAGTACTGGAGTGACTGCATTAGTGGAGGGGCCAAAATTATATCTCAGAACATTCTGGGCCTAGGAAGTTCTGGAAAGAAAATACATGGTCACCTACAAAGCGGCCTTCACTGTCACACTTGCCCCCTCCTGTAACTACTCTGAAAAGCTTTCACAGGGTGTATCTTCTCACTTAAATCATTGGGACATTAATGAAAAATGGTAATCTGGCAAACCCCATCATTTGAAGAAATGCAAAATCTCAGGAAAGGCTGTAGCCCTACATCATGTTTTCAGAGAATGAGGCCCCCTTAACTTACCAAGGAGTAGATCTTTTTACCCATCTCCTCGGCTTTGGCTTCTGCTTTCCTATTAGTCGTGGCAAAATGTCTAACAGGTTAGGAAACATGGGAGGTGGGGAGAGGCCAGGAGTGGGCAGAGACTGGAATAATAAGCTACAATAAAGGGAGGTCCTTGTAATGGTTTGCCTTCTTTAAAAAACACACACACAAGTAGAGCAACAAAACTACATTTCAAAAGTTATAAAATTAATGGGAACAAAATGTTTTTGTTCTAAGCATACTTTAAAGTTAGTTGATAAAAGCAACTTTATAGACATTTTAACTTGATTTTTTTCAAGCTTTACGTCATACGTACTCTAGTACAACTACAGTTTTGATTTGTTTTCCTTTTTCATTGAACGGTTACAAAATGTTACAAGAATGCAACAAGTAGTTACAACATAGTAACAACTCATTACTTTTCAAACTGTAACAAGTAAAAGGAGGAACTGCTTTAAAAAAGTTTTATGGGCTTGGCAAGAGAGGTGCCTGTTCACGGTGAACGTTCTAGGACAGGCCTTGCAGGCCTTGATGGATTCCAATTCCCATCGTCCTGGCTAACTGTTTGGGATTTATAATTCATTTTATTAAATATATATATATATATATATCCTGTCTTTCTTCCAAAGAAGGGTACCCCTTGTTGATGAATGATAAAATAAAACTAAATAAAAACAACCACTGTCAAAGAAAACAATGTAATTAAATATACTGTACAAAAGCAACTAAGAGGACAAATAAAAGTGCACCAGTCAAAGAAACAGCACACCCACTTGATGAGAAGACCCTTCTGTAGCAACTCCACTGAGCTAAAGTCCTGCCTGACTCAAAACGTCTGTGGAAGGGTCTGCCCAGTCTCTCTGGGCAGGGAGCTCCACTGCGCAAGGGGAACTCCCAGCCACCTAGGTGTCAGAAGTACCCACTTCCTCCAGCCTCAGCCCTCTCTTCCTGTCCAGGGCTGGGTGGGAACCAGGTGCTTGGATCAAGGTACAACCAACTCCCCTACCCTACTCTTCCGCCGCAGATCCAGTGGACTGACAAGAGCCCAATCCTCTACACAGAACAACACTACCATAGCTCTTATTAGGAGATAATCATGTCAGGGTTAGGCTTTACACTGTTTTGTAGAACAGCTGGAGGGTTTTTTATTTGTGAATCACTTAACAAATAACAGTAAATAAATAAATAAATGCAGTTGCTGGGCATGAAAGCAGAAGGGAAACATTTTGCACATGTTCAAATGTGCTGTCTTCCCACTGAAGAGGAGAAAGTCCTAGGGGGAACCCAACAGGCAATGCTTCCCTCCTTCCTTCCCTTGCCTCACCACCTTTTACCAAGAGCCTGCTGGCCAGCCAGGGCATCATGGCCTGTCCCGATGTGTGTACATTAACCACAGCATGCCCATCCCATCCCACCCACCCCAGCAAGCTGGCAGTGGCAGGCGCTTCTTCTGCGGAGTCCTTGAGCATTGCCCTTGGCCCAGGATGGGGTCCCTTTTTGGCAAAGCAGAAAGGCTGGATTGTGCAAGCCTAGAAGGACTCCCTTCCTGCTGCTACCTCCTCTCTTCCCAGACACCATAGGGAAAGGAAGCAATGATTTACTCACCCCGGCCAGAAATGGTCCCTGCCCTGTCCCGAGAGCTCTTGCCAGCCCTTATCAGCATTGCTGGTCCCTCCCTCTCACAGGACCTTTGAACCCACAGCTCGGGGCCTCCTCATTAGCTCTGAGAGAAGAAGGGAGCCAGGAACAAGCAGCGCCAGTGCCACGGCCTTTCTGTTCACACCTGGGTGGCAACATGCTCTCCTATCTAAGTTCCTGGCTGCCCAGCTTCCCTAGCTTGGCCTGGGGCTCGAACCTGGTGGACTCCCTCTTGCAAGGTGAGCCAGGGTGTCTATCCTTCTCCACCCCTTGCCAATCCTTCCTGGGGTTTGCACCCCTAAATCTCCCCTTCCCTCCAAAACCAATACCTGTTCTGATCTTGGCTTCCCTGCAGGGCTGGTGGGAGCCTGTGCTGTCTCCGTCTTGTGCGGCTTGATGAAGATCTACCTCTATATCCAGTGTTTGAAGTGAGTTTCTCTGCCTCCCTTTATTTAAATAAGGAGAGAAAAGTCTTTCGTATTTTGTCCACTCTGGCCCTCAAGACTTTCAGACCCATCACCCCAACTAGTAGGACCAAGGGAGATTGTACTCTGACACATTTGGCTAAAGAAAGCCATCCTGAAAGGTTTAATAAGGGACTATAGACAGGAGAGAAGGATAGTAGAGAAAAGCCAACCTTCAGGAAGCTAGATTCTTACCCAATGGCCACCTTCCACTGCTTTGATTCCTTAACAGGTTTTATTGTTTTGTAGAGCCACAGACTGGTCCTCAATCTCTCCCACAGATTGGTCCTGGTTTTGCCTGTGGGAAGACAGTGGAGATTGAGTCCTGTAAAAAACGATTACCTGTGTTTCAAAATGGATTTAAGTGAGTTGGTGGAGCTAGAATTCCTCTGGGGTTCCTCCCATTGCAAAAGAGGGTAGTCCTACAGCACCTAATTCCTAGAATGAAAGCTGGGTGTGTCTGGTCTCCAGAGCTGCCCTTTCCTACCCTTCTGTCTCCTGATGGTTTGGGCTGCAATGCCCATCATCCATCAAATCCCTGGAGCAAAATAGTAGTTGCCTTCCTTTAACTTTCTAGACCTTAAAAATCAGGAGAATCCACTGTGTTGCCTTTTCTTTAATCCAGAAAACATCTGGGCAGATGGCAACTGCCTGAAAGCCAGGAGTGAATATAAACTGAATCCAGACCGGCATTGGTTCCCTTTGAAATTTTGATGCGAGACCTAGTTCCTTCCTTCACATGCCTGTCAACCTCGCCTTTTCATTCTTGAGTCCCTTGTTTCTGCCTCCCTTAGTGATCCAGAACGCAAGAAAGAGAAGGAGGCCATACGGCAACAGTGGGCTCTGCTGGATCAGTTGCACCTCTTCGTGCTGACAGGCACCTTCATGGTGGTTGGCTCTCGTGTGGCTGCCCTGGTGGTGCTGGAGTTCTCCCTCCGGGCTGTCTCTTCCATCCTCTCCCTTGACAAGGTGTGTTCCTTATACAGTATCAATAGGCAGCTACTTAGTCCCTCCCCCACCACATCCCACCCAGGTCCAAAGTATCCCATGACACCCAGTCTCTGCTTCCCAGATCAGCCACATCATGGATCTGTTCATTTTAGTCTTAAAAAGTAACCTTTTCAAGCATTGGCCGTGATCCCTACTCTACTGAATATGTTTCTGTTCATGAAGAGGGGTGTGTGTGTGTGTGTGTGGCTAGCTGTCCTGGCTGAGCAATTCTTCAAGGGATGCCTCAAGCCATAAGCTCTCTGGTCCTTGCAGGGGGCACACAACAGCCAGCTCTACCTGCTCTGCCAGTACTCCTTGGGTTGTGGCATTTCGTGCAGCCTCAGCTACCTCCAAGAAGGGGCAGCCCATCGGACGTGGAACCTGCTTCTCAGTGTGGGCTTGGCCACCCTTCTGACCGTGTATGTCTGGCGCCTGGCCCGCCATGTCTTCGCCATGTACGAACTGCATTGCAAAGAGCGCTACTGTGGTGTGTGCCTCTTCCTTCTTACCACCTGGCATGGCATTCCCAGACTCCTGTGCAATGCTCTCAAGGTCACCTTCCTGGTGGCTGACTTGGCTGCCGTGGCTCTGATCAACCGGGACTTCCTCACCACCTCAGAAGCTGTCCGCTTCTGGACTCCACTAACAATCTGCTACACACTCCTGGTCATCTACATGCAAGGTGAGTTCTCTTTTCTCATTCACTGTGAAATCTTTGGCGCCCAAGGAAGCAGTACAAGAGTTAAATGCTTCTGGCACATAAACCCATCCTGAGTTTTCTGATTGTTTGTGAGCCCTTTTTTTTTTTTGATGGCACATCAATTCTATAAATCTATGAGAATGCCCAGGGTTCAGTTCCTGGCACTTTAGGTTTCAGATATATCAGGTGTTAAATAAAACAAAGGTTCTCTCTCTGCTGGAGACCCTGGGGAACCAATGGTAAGCCATCTTCTGCGCACACATGGATCAGGATAAGATCTTTCCTTCCTATATTTAGATGGGTTTCTTTACCAAGCAAGTTGATATGGCAAAACATGCTCTTAGGATGCAGGAGGTTCCAGGTATAATCCTCAACATCCTCTTTTAAAAGGAAGTAACATTAGAAGGCAGCTAGTCAAAAATACAGAGCTCGAAGGACCAAAACACTTGCTGTGGACATCCATACAACTTTTTGGTTACTTGCTCTGAGACAGGACAGGACAAACATGACAACTTTTTTAACTGTGTACTTGTTTTCGCTATTTAAATGGTAGAAGAGCAGCGTCAAAATCCCACAGAGCAGATGGCCTTCCAGACTGTCTTCGTCAGGATGGGGGGGCTCTTGATCTTGCTCATGACAGTGGGTCGCTGGATGGACATCGTCAACATTGTTGTCTCACTGGTTGGGGAGATTTGGTGCTTGGTACGGACCGGAGTCTTGCTGGAAGTGTGCAGAAAGCAGGTACGACCTTAGCAGAGGCAGCTGCTTTTTGAAAGGAAATTGTCCTGTGGATTTACTACTGTCTTCAAAGAAGAGGGGGAAAGCCAGCATGTGTGTTTTATGTGCTATTTTGATCCTTTGGTTTCTGAGCATGGGGTTACTCTTCCATTTATCCCATTTCCCTATCTCATTGCTCCTGGACAACTCATAATCTATGAATATTTTTACAGGTTTTTTTTTTTTTAAGTTGCACTTTGTGTCAGTGGATTACACAAGTTAAATAACAATTACATCAAGAAAGGTGTATTTTTACCTACCACCAAATCACGTTTTCTTTCTTACTTATTTACTTACTTTTTATTTTATTTTATTTTATTTTATTTTATGACTCTCCAGGACTATTATCAAAAAAATTCCCACTTGACTTCTGCCTCCTGGAAACCCTCAAAACAGCATGAAGACTTTCCTGACAAATATTTATCATCAGCAACACCAGCAGCACCATCCTGAAGCAGAGAAGCTATCCTACTACTCAGAGATGCTCAGAGGGCAAAGCCAGTATGATCTGTATGACTGTAAGATACGGATGAGGAGTTGATGATCATGGTTTTGCTGTCTTATAGTAAAAGACTACAATCTGAGTCAGTAAAGGTAGCAGAGCTGTATTCTCTAAGCTAGCCACTGTAAGACATGGCTGAGCATGTTGACTGCAATAGAGTTTGGCTATCTTTTCGTGTGTTTTGGCTGAGTCTCGCCTCTGCTCAACTTACATGTACACATATAAATTAAATATTGTATTATAAAATACCAGTAAGTCTCCAGTGACCATTTTCCAAAGGATGGAAAGTGCCAGGCTGAAGAAGGAAATAATATATGACAACCAGATGTTGCTGGTGGTCCAATAGTACTATTTTCAAGGCAAAACATCAGACAAAAATTCAGGGAATTCCCTGGAATGGAAACAGGGCAAATCTTAGCACCAAGTATGCTAGGGAGTATTTTCCTCTTCTGTTACTCCTACATCGAAGAATCCATTTTCTGGGCTATAGCTTCCAGAATGGATTCTGGAAAAAAGCTAGCCTTTTCAGCCACCATACTTTGTCCAGTCTAAGGCTCTGGAGAAAAGAGAAATTAGGCTTCTTCACTTTCTACCAGAGTTTGGAAAATTACTTTTAAAAATAAAATTACTGTGCCATGATCCTCAGAATGGTTTCTGACCTACAGTACTTCCGATTTTTGTACTGTGTAACTCTTCTTTTTCCTGATATCCAACATGAAATAAATAAAACATTAACTAGGTTGGTGACTCTTGTTTATTTTTGCCTTGTTTTCATAGATTTTTATTTCATAATCTCTCACAGACTTCTTGGATCCCCTCTGTTTCCACAAAAATATTGAGTTGTGCAAGACCCACTGCAGGCCTGGACTTGTGGGGCCAGGCTAGAGTAGAAACCCAATTCTCATTGTTGTGGGCAAGGGCAACATATCTGACCCTCCCTTGGCCTTTCCTGGCTTTTTCTTCCCCTCCCAGCAGTCTCCGCACCCTTTCCATTTCCTTTCCTTCTTGTTACCATGAGACAATTTTGCAGACAGCCTCCTGGGACATCTGTGCTTGCTTCTCCTGAGCAGAGCCCTCCCTGCCCAGCTAGCAGGGCTGTTGAGCCCTGCTTGCTTCCCTTCACCAAACACACTCACAGGTGCCACCCTCCCTCTTCCGTGCTCCAGTACGAGCTGACTCAGACATTCACAGACAGTCTCTAAGGAACTTTTGTCAAGTGCTGATGAAGCACAACTGCTTCTGACCGAAAAAGTCCATCAACTGGGTTAAAGAAGGTCAAGAGGAGGAGGAGGAAGAGACAGTGGTAGTCTTGGAAAAATAACAAAGTCCTATGGTCCTTTTAAGGACTAACAAATGTGAATTTAAAATTGAAAAAAATGGAAAAGAATACTCAAGGTAGATTGTGAATTTAAAATTGAAAAAATGGAAAAGAATACTCAAGGTAGAGATTTGATATTGCAAAATAAAATAAAAGGAGAAGACGTTACACTTGTAAGTGTTTATGCACCTAAAGAGAGACAGGAGGATTTATTTTTTGAAAATATATTGAGAAGGTTGGATAAACTGAGGAAAGGTTCAGTGATATTAGCAGGTGATTTTAATATGGTAATGGATATGAAAAAGGATAAATAAAAGTTGTGAAATGGGGAAGGGAAAATTAAAACTACAATATTAAATAGATTAATAAATAAGACAGATCATGTATACATGTAGTTCTTTTAAAAGGACTGGAATGGAAAAGAGGAAGATTGGGCTTGGCAGGAGGGCTGCCTGAATACATTTTGCTGCTTGAGACTAAAAAAATATCATCAGCCATGAGACAGGATCTTCAACTGTATCCAAGGGCCAGAATAGTTTAAGGGGCGAGCTACAACTGCCAAGAGAAGGGGATGAAGAGCAGCTGGGAGAGAGGCACTGCTATCTATCTGCCAATGTCTTGTACCAGAGGCAGTTCCCTTAGTTTGCAAAATGGTGGAGGGTAGCCAAGCAAAGAGGGTGCAAGTGGAGCCAAGGGAACCCGAAGAAAAGATATAGGCTGCCAAGGTTCCTCCACATTACTGAGGTGGCTGGAGAGGAAAATAATAGAATGAGGCTTCCAGTGTTTGTAACTCAATGTAAATAATATCAGAAAAATCCTCTTCTTCCAGAATTGAGGCCTGGATGCCTAATGGCTGGCAAGAGACAGAAAGCACAGTTTGTTTCTGTAGGGTCTGAGGTTGGTTTGTGGTGGTGCAGATTTACACAGATTCTCTTTTGGCATTAACAACATTGGGCAGTGAGTCAGAGGGTTGAGATAAAAAACTTTATGACTCTCTTGAGGAGTCATAAAAAAGATATTCTGGAAACTCCTCTGTCTTGTAGAGGAAGCAATGATGTGGTGGAAAGAGGATTGCCCCATTTAACTGCTCTTGACATGGGGCTGAAATTCTTGTGGTAGTGATGGATTTGGGGCAGAAATTTGTATCTCTGGCCTTGGGACTGAGGTTTCTGTAGGTGGAAGTCATAAGAATGTAAAAACCTAAGAAGAGCCCTGCTGGATCAGGCCAAGAGCCCATCTAGTCCAGCTTCCTGTATCTCACAGTGGCCCCACCAGACGCCTCTGGGAACAAGACAACGAGAGACCTGTCTCCTGATACTACTTCCCTGCATCTGGCATCTGTCCGAGTTGCCTGGAAGACTTCCTGCCTTACCCTCTTTCATGGGCAAGGTCCCACTTCCTTCTGAGATTCAAGAGCTTTTGCTCAGGGCCACCATCAATACATTGCTCCACCACAAACCTTTTGTTTTGCTTTGCAACATCATCTTATGCCTGTGCCTCTTAAGTGACAACATCATGTAGCATAGAGTTCCCCACCTCCAAAGCAGGAGATTGGGAGATGCAGCCCTCCAGATGTTGGGGGAGGGTTCAACTCCCAGGAGCCACAGTAAGCACAATCACCTGCAAGGAATGATGGCAGCAGCTGTGGATTTTAACATCTGAAGGGCAACTCCTGTTGTCATTGCTGCTAGATAGTTTAAGGGTGCGCAAACACAGGACTCTTTACACTTCTGCTCCTCTCAGTTTCCAAACCTCCCAATGAAGGGGTGGGTCAGTGCAGGGGATACAAAAGCTACCCCAGGCAGAAATATGCTACTTGAATACTGAACAGTCGGGCTCCCTCTCTTCATCCAAGTGGATGTTTACCCAGAAAGAGCACAAATGCATAAGCAGGCGATCCTTTTATTGGACCACAGGAAAAATAGTTTCCTTTTCAGATAGAAAGTTACCATCAACCCAAGAGCCAGCCAGTCTCTTGAACTCGGAAAGGGGAGAGTTCCAACAGCTGCCTCCCTGCCTCCAGGCTCTGAGAACTGGGTGTCGGCAGAGGATCGCAGGGATCTTTTGTTCTCAAGGGGGGGGGGGAGAGGCGGCAGCCACTTCAGACTCAGTGTCTCAATAAAGGATCTCCAGTGGTGACCCAGAGGCGCTCCTACTGGGCAGTGGAAAACGAGGCAAGCAAGACATGAGGGTGGTGCGCTGGGAGGCGGAAGCCCGGCAGCCCGCTGGGCAGGTAAAGGGACTCGGTCCCGCATACTCACCTTTTATGGCTAAAGAGAGACAAAGGGGAGGGGAGAGCAAAAGAGGAGGGGAGGGGTGGGCCAGGGTCTGCAGCAGGGCGGGGTGGCAACCGCTGGCGTTGCCTCCCTCCCTCCCTCCCTCTCTCCCTCCCTCCTTCCTTCCTTCCTTTGCTGGGCTGGCCACCGATCCCAGCAGGAACTCCAGCACCACTGGGACGGCGACGGCGGAGTGCCTCGGGTTTTCCGCGCAGAGCTCACCCACCTCTGCTGGCAGGCAAGGAAAATTCCTCGCTCACTCACTCGCTGCACTTGTGAGCGGCTCCTCCAGGTGAGGTGAGGGTGAGGTGGGGGGCCGCCTGGGAAGGGGGTAGCATGATGACCAGGTGCGCAACCGCGGATGGGTGCCCTCCTGAGAGACCCCTTTGGCTTCCTCTTCTCCCGGGCGCAGCAGGATGAGCTGCAGGGGGCACAAATCCTTTGCCACACCTCCCAGTCAGGGTGGGGTGGGGACCAAAGCTCCCAAAGGAGGGAGAAGCCTTCCTCCCAAGCCTTGATATGGGAAAGGAGGCTCTTATCTCTCTCCTCGGGGCCCAGCTTTAGCACACAAGGGGCTTTGATTGCCCGGCCAGGAGGGGATGGTGGGACTGGGCAGGAATGGGCCATCCCCTGCTGGGACTGACCTGGAACACTGGCACGCCCACCTGAAGATAGCCGCTTCGCCGCCCCCCCCGCCACCGCCGCCAGCTGTTCTGATCTGTGACAAGGCTTGATCAGCAGGGTCCCTCCCTGTCCAAAGGTGTGCCAGTCTCCACCCTTCTGCCCCTTGACTTTTCTCTCTTCCCAGCCCTTCTGGGTCTTGGCAAAACAAGCCCTTCCCTCTACCCAAGGGCACTTGGTCCTCTGGGTGGTGGAAGAGAAAGCCCTCTCTTTCCTCCTAAGCCTCTGTTGAGCCAAGGGCAAAGGTAAGGATGTGGCGTGGATCCTTCAGGAGGCTATGCTGGCCTGGCCACTATTGCTATCCGCAAGGAAATCTCCCTGCCCTCAGCTGGGAAGGCCTTTCAGTGCAATGGGGCTCAGGCAGACAGATGCTCTAAGAAGGCACAGTCTTTAGAACCATCCCTCTTGGAAATAAGTGGGCAAAGGGGTGAGAGGATGGGGGAAAAAAGAAGTCTGCACCCAGCTCAGATGCCTGTGGCTCTTCAGAGTTCACTGGTGTTAAGGCTCTGACCAGGTGGCACAACAGCCCTGGGCAGCAAGTGAGATGCAGTGGCACAGGGCAGGTGGGATGGGCCAAACAGCTCCATCCTTCAAGTCACCCTTGTCCCCTTCCTGACTCCCTCCATCTGCTGCTTGAGGGGCCTCACTATCTTCCCTAATGGAAGGGCTGGTGCTGCAACATGGCTGTAGGTGCAAGAAACACTGTTTCAGGCAAAAGGGTTCAGAATGTAAGTCACACAAACTAAAATATCCACGGGGTGGGAGGGAGAGCCTAGGTATCCAGCTCGGTGTGCTGGGGATCACCCAGGGTGATCTTAAGTGAAGGAATGAACTGGCTTCCCAGCTACATTAAAGGTTTATGATGCCCACTATTCAGGTAGGGATAGCTGAGGTCTTGAATTAACCCAACAGCCTACACATCCTAGACACATCCAAACTGTGAGAGAGGAGTGCACATTTAGCTACACACAAACATGGCACAACTTTAAAAACACAGCTTACACCCTGGACTTCTAGTTTCTTTAGCAGAGGCGGCCTTGTGCCAGCCTCCCAAGGTAGTGGAACTGCGAATGCAAAGGGCATATTGCAGAGCAAGCTGCTGGAAGGGCATGGAGAAAAAAACGTGTATCAACACAATCCAGAAGGTGTATCGCCTTGCCCATCAGACTGTCACACTGCCCAGCTGCCCTGAGGAGGAGGAGGAATATGAAGCTGCTTGAGGCTGGGCTGCCCTTTGTTCGTGCCTCGTCATTCCTGCTTCCCTCCTTGTGGAATGGGGCAAAGCCGCAGACTGCAGGGCTCAGAACTGCTCCCAACTGCGTAATTTGCTGTCTCTTGCTTAAGTCCTCCCTGGTCTGTTAGTTCTTGTCCTGAGGAGGAGCAGGTATTCTTTCTTCCTTTGCTACCAGGAATGAGGGGTGTTTTTTTTTTTTGTATGTGTGTTCTTTTTTTCAGAGAAGGGTGGGTGTGTCTCAATGTTGTGCAAGACAGTGGATGTTTCTGCAAGCGCAAGTTAAAGAGAATATTCTTATTTTGTATAAATTGTTCTGTAGCATGAAGATGGCCTTTGAGACTGTGGAGTTAAGCATTCTAAGACTCTCAGTTCAGATGCAGTCTCTGGTCTTCAAACTTTTGTAGATTACTTATGGCACTCTGTGCAAGCAATGCTTGATGGGACCCAACTAGACTCCTAGCCGTAAAGAGATTACAATTTTCCCAGTGTATGGAGATGTGCTGCAACAGTTGCACAGTTTATGGCATTGTTACTTGCTATCAAGTTGCGTCCAATTTGTAATGACCCTAATAGGCGTTTTTCCCAAGGCATATGAAACATTTGCCAGTGCCACTCCCCAGCTAGCTCCAATGGCCAAGCAGGGGCTTAAGCCCGGGTCTCCTGAGTCCTAGTCCATTGCTCGATCTATTAAATCATACTGGCTCCCACACAGTTTGTGCAGATTGAAAAGTTATCTTTTTCACAAAGCTTATTATGAGTTTTACAGAGGGAAAAACTGAGGTGGGAGACTTATTCATCTTAAAAGAGGTTACAATAGAATTTGGGTCTTCCACATGACCTCACAGGCCCACCATGGAGCAAACCTGTATCTTGCCCTCATTCAGTGGTCTATTTCTCCACTTCTCTCTCTGTTCCTCCAGGTGAAGATGCTATCAGAAAAGGTGCAGAAACGGATGGCATCCTCCGTCTTCATCACCCTTGTACCACCCAGGAGAGATCTCTACGCTAAAACGGAAACAAGGCCACAGAAGGCTCCTATCCTCCCCCACAACAAGCTTCCCAAAGAATCTGGGACATCTGTGGGCCCCATCCCATCCCAAACACCTGATAGTGCCAATCTGAGGAGTAAAGACCACTGCCCAGGAGATTCAAACATGCCCAACAGAGGTGAGAGGAACAACAGTCCAGCAATCACTCTTATCAGGGCTCTAAAGGAACTGAATGTGGGCAGGAGGCCAGCTGGGCAAAACTTTTTCCTTCGGGCTTAAATAGCAGCCAGGATTCACACACAAAGCTTGAAATGTTACTTTTTTGGACTGTAAACCCCCAGAATGCCCTAGATGGCATGAGGTCTGGGAGCTCTCATTTACATCATGAGCAGTCTGGATTGTTGAAAATGTGAATACATTGTGAGGACAAGTACATGTCAACTTCTGAACATAAACAGCCAATATGGACAACTGTTGAAGGTTTGCGGAACATTTTTTACACCCTGTAACCACCAGGGGTCCTTTTGCTACAAGCAGATGTAACTGGAAGGCGCAGAAACCATGAGAGTGGGAATCTCCTGAATTTTGGATTGCAACTGTCAGAACCCCTCAGCCAATATAGCCATTGGCCCTGATGGCTGTTTCTGGGAGCTGTAATTCAAAGTATCACTTCTCCAAGCAATATGGGCTTGCAGACTGTTTTTGATACACCCTCCAGGCAGCCTTGAGTCCCTGAAGCTTTTATTTCAGAAAAAAAGTTAACTTCCTATACTGTACCTTCAGGCAATGTTGTTGTTTTTACTGTTAATTTTAGGTTGCTCTTCCCTGCTGTCACCACTGGCTTCTCCTCCCTGCCCCCACCCAACAGTCTCAATAACACTGACCTGGATCATTTATTTCCTCTTCTACTTCCAGCCCTGTATTCAAAACCCTTCTCAGCAGAGGTATTTGGTCCTGATTTTCAGAAAGAAACCGAAGCGTTGCCCAAATCTCTGCAGGTAATCTGTCATTTTTCTAAAGGGCTGTCCTTCCAAATGATCACCTTAAAAGTTATTAAATGTAATTGTGAATACTCAAGCATTACATGCAAGCCAGGCAAGAACTGCTTCTCTTCTGCACTATCATCATTTGTTTCTATCATTCTTCTTAAGTTTCCAGTCCTGTTGTTTAAACTATGATGAAAGTAATAACTAATGAGGAAATAAAACAACCCACTAACAAAAGCTCTTATCCCATGGAATCAAAAACAATTTCTGAGACCATGAAGAGACATTCTTCACCACTAATTCCCCAGTCACACATAAGTCCTACAATGAGCTAAGCAAAAAGAAAATTTAAAAAGCCTAGGAACCCTTACAAGCTGTGACAGAGAATAAAGGAATGCAACTATTCAGGGGCAAGAAGTGCTTTGCATGTTCATGCATCTCTTTGTGGTGCCTCCCCTTAAAGCCAAGTTCAAGGTCCACTTGGAAATAACCACCTTATTTAGCACTAAACTTGTCTTGGTTCATTCTCTCTGCTCTTTAGACTTCTTCATTTCCAGTTGAAATGAGACAATCAAAAATTCTGCCCTTGACACTCAATGGGGCTGAGGAGCAACAGACGGTAAAGAAAAGGGAGAACGCTGTTTCAACAGGTAACAACAAAATACACAACAAGATGCTAGACAGGGTAAAGGATCTGGTTCAGGATTGCTTATAATTCTGAGCTACAAAGACGTATAGCTGGAAACAGACTCCACAAATATCACGGGCACAAACTGAAAATGCACAATGGTCTCTTTTTACAGAAATCTGTGCTTTTTGCCACAAAGCAATATCCCCTTGGGTTCCTACCCTCGAGGCGATGAACAAACAATACCATGCTGACTGTTTCACATGTCGAACATGTCAGCATGCCCTGGCAGGAAAACGCTATTACCAGAAAGATGGACAGCCACTGTGTGTCGCCTGCTATCAGGTAGGTCTTCTTCCCCTTGCTTCATGGCTTGAAGTGGTTGCCCACAGTCTCAGAATCTCTTTGGTCCCACATCTTTCCCAAACAGCATAAGGATTGTGAGATCATGTGTGTTAAATACAGCAGAAAGCCTCTGAATTGGGAGGCTTGGAGTGAAGTCACCGTAAGTTTCACCTAACTTCGTCTGTCTTCTTCCTCCTGCATTCCTCCTTGGACAGAACACCCTGGAAAAGTGTGCCATGTGCCAGGCCTTAATCTTGACCCAAATTGTGCATGCCATGAGCAATAGTTATCATCCAGAGTGCTTCACTTGCGTGGTGTGTGCTCGGGCCATCGGAGATGAGACTTTTGCACTGGATGAAAGCAATCAGGTGCACTGCTTGGATGACTTTTACAGGTAAAGCAATAAGATTTACACTCTTTCTCTTGGACGTAGGTCCCCGTATGAGCTGCCATTGCTTTGTTTTGTTGTGTGTTTTTGTTGTTTTAACATATAAACATAGCACTGTATTTGTTTTTCAGGAAGTTTGCTTCTGTGTGCGGTTCCTGTGAGAAACCCATCATCCCAAGTGATGGGAGGGACTTATATAAGATTGAGTGCATGGGGAGAAACTTCCATGAAGATTGCTATAGATGTGAAGTAAGTCCAGGAAAAAGAATGGTGATGAATTCTGGAGGCCATGCAACAGAAGAAATTTAAAACAAAATAGTAAAATATGCTAATAATTTGGAGTAGCTATAGAAAATTACTTAGCTCATCAGTGTCCCCATTATATCTGTTGACAGAGTTAGATAAATTCTCAGAAAATCTGAATGGGTCAATTGAGAAACTGCTAATAAAGAGATAAGTTATGCAAGGAGATAGGCAGGGAATGGAGAATGGAGTCAAGACTTGGTATGTTTTCGTTTTGATAGAGGGAAGTCTTGGATATAGCAATCAACAATACTTACATATAATAGTAAAGTTAAGAGGTGTATTAGACAGAGACATGTTTATAGACCTGTGGGGAGAATTCACTGAATTTTGTATTAATAAAGGAGAAGGGGGAAAACACCCAATATAGGAGTCTATACAACTCTGGAAGGGAAATCAGGCTCTGCAAAGGAAAGGAAATATACAGTTACTCCCAAAGGGTCTAGGTGGTGGGGAGCACTATGCATATAGATTGCTTTTTAATTAGATGCTTTATTTTCTTTGTTTGTATTTGACTTTTTATTAGTTTAATACAAATTTTAAAAGAAAAAAGTAAGAACAAAATGAATATAAATGTTTCTCAAGAACAAACATAAAAATGTTATTTCTTCTGGCAGTTAGGGTATTAGGGCCTTTAACCTACCCTTCTACCCTACAGAAGATTTGGTAGGCCTTTCTCATCCCTGCCTGCTGGCAGGGTTAAGGGGGTTGCTGCATGAATGCAGCTCCTATTATTTCCACCAGTTTTGGGGGTTTCTCACAATCTAACAATTGACTTCCTTTGTGCTTCCTACAGAAATGCCACATCTTGCTCTGCCCAGAACCCACAGAAGATGGATGTTATCCTCTTGGCAGCTGCCTTCTCTGCAAGTTCTGCCACGTCCAGCAGACCAAAAAAACATCCTACTGAGCAAACAAGGCATAAACAAGCATCCTGTGGCCTCTGACAGTTCAGTGCAGATAGATTTCAATAACACATTTCAGTATTTTGATGCCCTGCTTCTCTCTTCTGGTTTCTTCCTTTTGAGTCTTATAAAAACGTTTTTCTGTCCTGGAGTATAATTGGAGTGGAATGCAATGCTTGGTGTTGGGCTGCTGCTCTAGGACAGAATTATCATCTCTTTCACATCATTGTGCCGTTGAGCACTGCAGGGAAATTCTTAGACAGTTATGGTTAACTAAACACACTCAACACTATCCTAGGAAAGTGACTGAGCAATAAGGCCTTCTTATCTGCATTATTTTTACACTAGAGGGCATATGTGAATAGTGGCCAACAGACGTTCACCCATGTAAGTGTAAACTGTACTAAATGGTGAAAGTTCTACACTATTCTTCCTTTTGCTTTTTATTTTATTTTACTTTGGTCAACAAGGTCGAACAATCTAACATCACTATTTCTTTAAAAATTAGAAATGTCAGTTGGTTTTGGTGCTGAAAATGTGGTGCCACTCTTCTGTTAAAGCATGTTGTGCCCACCAGGGGGCAGAACAAGGCAACACCATTGTTCAGCATTTAAAATTAAAGGCTATTAAAGACAATCTGAAGACAAGAGTGAGTGGGTGATGCCTTTAGGAGACCACTAAAATCTCACATAGAAGGGACCAGCTACCCACCCTTATCTTCAGATTGTGTGCAAAAACCACACCAGTTTTTATAGTAAAAACTAAATAGCTCAACCACAGGTTTCTTCTTCCTTTTTATGGCCACTTAACACTCTCAATTTTGCAGTGATTAGGAAATTGTGTGGGCACCAAGCCCCTCTCCTCCCCAGCTACAAGCTTCCATCTGTCCAAAACACCCTAACAATTACCTTCCTGTCTTGACTTGAAACAGAATTAAATGTATTAAAAATTATTTCAAAATACTAAGATGTTATTGGGAGACATCCAGATATAAGGACAATTACTCACTTCACATAGGAGCAAATGTGGTTATCATTCCCTATTAATTGTTGCAATAACCCCTCCCCCATTCATAGGTTCATTTTTAATGCTTGCATAGGTTTCTCATCCAGAAATGAGACACAAAACAACCAGCTGATACTGATGTTGCTGTAAAGATTGGCAAAATAAAGTAATGGAACCCTGTGACAGTTCTGCCATCTTTAGATCCACTTGATTAAAATCTGAATCAAACCCAAAGGGCCTTTGTTTTGATTCTTTGTGATTCCAGCTACTGCAAACAATGTATACATAGGTTATATAATGTTGTCATGTGACTAGCATTATTAAATCAGTCATTAATATGCACCAAGCTGGAATGTCGTGAGGATCCAAGCATTCTAAATTTGTGGACAGAAGGGTCTAGCTGTTTGATCTTCATCTGCAAAGCAAAATGGACAATGGGGGGAAGATACCAGACAAAGGGGAGAATAGATCACATTTGGACAAATGGTGGTGGTGGGGGGGAGAAAATGTCTCAAAGCCATTTGTTTAGCAGGTCTGCTAGAACTGTATCCTGTGTAGGATCCATTGTGAAGACCCTGATGAAAACTCCATTTTGCATAAAGGGCAAGACACACATATAAGAAAAAAAAGCATACAAGTGCCAAGACATGGACACAGAATCTCCCACAGACTAATACAGCTCCATAATTTTAAATTGTCCTCTTGCACTACTGTATGTGAAACAATATTACGTTAAAGTTTTTACATATACTTCTCAAAATGGAAAGGTCATCATGTATTACTTCTGACAACTTTATATTTAGCCCCAATAATATTGTACATGGGGGCTAAAGGTGTTTCTACACTTCTTACAAAAAGAAACACACCACTGACATCCAAGGATGAAAGAATGAGGTAATTTAAGCGTGCACTAACAAGCATGTGTACCATTTTCTCTCATACTTGACCTAGGTGTCCAACACTTCACAAAAAAAACACCAGAAGGAGATATTCACAATGCTTCTGAAAAATAATACATGAGTATGTGCTTGCTAGCCCATATTTGATATTTTAACAACTCAATTCCTTTTATTTCTGAAAATGTTACCCTTTCACTGAAGGAAAATCGTTTACATTTTGCATTTTAGCTGCTGGAGAGTAATTCTTGGCTTCCCTGATACAGTAATTCCAGAAGACATCTAAAAAACAATATTAATGAAATCCAAGATGTGCAGTAGGAACAATCCACTGGTGTAGATGTATTTTTTATTTGCCATCAAGTAAGGAATGATACACAGTGGTCCTTGTAGGGCTTGCAGGTTAGTGAGATATTTAAAAAGTGGTTTTACTATTGCTATGACCACCGCAGCATACACAAAGACTGTTTCCACAGCCCCATCGGGATTCAAACCCAGGTTTCCTAACATATACGTAGAAGTTGTGAGGGTCATGATGTGTTCGGTTTCACAGTGAATTGCCACCAGGCTTACTGGAAACAAGAAGTGACATAAAAAGCAATAAACATTGAACCTCTGTTTTCAAAATGGAACAATACCCTTCTACCTTAAAACCATCTCTTAGAGAGACAGAGAGAGAGAGAGAGAGAGAGAGAGAGATGGTGACTGACTCTTTCATGTAGACAGTGAGGTGCCATTGGTCGTTTCAGAGTTCATACAAAAAGCTGATGAGAACTAATTATTCTCTGCTTTATTACCCAACAATGGGTACTCACTCACTAAAAACCAAACTGGGCTAATAGTGCCAAAGAAACACCAGAGATGTGATATAGCAGGGAAGGGGTGAGATTTCCAACTTCTTCCTCTAGTGACTTTCTGTGCAGACTTTGCTGGAATATGCACAAAGGCAGAGAGGTTGAGTGCACATGGCTATACAGTACTCTCTGTACATTTAATCTGGCTTCAAAAGCTAACCGCCCCCCCCAAAAAAAATCAGGCTTGAGAAAAAAACTGTTCTGTCAGCCTCAATTCCTCCTCTAGCAAAGAGGAAAAAACTGTGACTTATTTGTTCACTACATAAACTTGCTCTGAGAGCAGAAACAGTGCCGTACTTCATTATTAACTAGAGAGAACTATTTTGAGACCTAGGCTATGCAAAGAGTTCATTCAAGGAAAAGAGATGTGCAAATAATCTGAAAACATACAATCAAAAATGAAGAAATGTTGAGAATTGGAAATGGTTTTTGAATGGATACATCCTCCTTTATAAGGCACCTGTTCCCCCAAAGAACAACTGTGTATTTCAAACACTACCACATTTAAAAAATACTGCACTCTTCCGTTAAAGCATACCAGTATCTCTCCAGTATTTAGTGGCCAGTATCTACTTAAATTACACAATTATATTTCAATATTTTTAATTCTGCCTGACCATAAACTGTATTGAAGCTTTATAAAAAAAACAAGATATATAAGTGACTGCTGCTGTTAACAGTCATTAATTATATACAAATGAACTATCTAATTTGAAAATATTTATGCAACACAAAGACTTCCTAGGAAGAGTGTTACAGAGTTCTTGTCACATAAAATAAAAAGTGGGAAGTTTCATATACAATAGTCCTTGATCCTTTGCAGTATTTATATATACTTACTAATTTTAGCTTTAAATATTGTCTTTTCATTATGTAAGCCATCCTGGACCCTTATTACAAGAAAAGGAAGTACTGTATAAAAATGTTTAGGAGCTTCTAAGTCAACTTTGCAGCCCTAACTGATTTGTTCTATTTGGTGTTGTTTAATTTAATGATTTTATTGCTTAATTTGTTTTTATGTTTTATGCCGACTGCAAACTGGCCCTTGAGCACTACTTAGTACTGCAAAAGGTGAGTAGAAAGGTAATCTAAATAGCAATTATTTCCTTTGAAATACACAATGCGAAACATGGCTCATACATCTCCAGACACAGAAAGGACACAAAATATTACCGTGGACACATTAATTTTTCACTACTGACACAGAGAAGGGAGGGAGAGATTGGGGATGGTGAACAAGAAGCCAAGTCTGGGACTCTCTAGTCTCTGAGCAATGTTATCTGTTTCTCCTCTCATTTATTCTATTTTTTTCATCATTGTTTTCTGATTTTTTTTAATCTTTAGGAGTTCTCTTTATTAATCATCACGTCGGGTTTGATTTAAGCTTAATCTGAAAGCTTCCTGGCTTTTTTTTTTTTGGTACATAGAGTAAACTGGATCTTCAAAATATGCCTTAATAACCTTTAGGATAGGGGACGAGACAACTTCCAGTAGCCGTCCAAAATCATGAATGAAAAACAAACCCAACCTAAATGTACTAACACTACTTTTTAAAAGTGCTTTTACTGCATTACTAATGCATGTATGCCAGGCACATTAACGAGTAGTACAGAGTTTGCCTCTTTCATGGTTCAATTTAAATTATTCCCAACAAGGCATTTTATGCTTAACGGGACCAGAGGTTCGGAGTTTGATCCCACCCCCAGGGCCTCCTTGTCAGAAGCTGGACTTGATGATCCATGGAGTCCCTACTAAGGTTGTTGTACAGTAGTTGTTATTACTACTATTAGCAATTCCCCTATGAATATATTTGTGACTAAAGAAGCTCCTTGGATGAGTAGCAAAACATTTCAACCTAACAAGAAAGAAGTCCAGTTTGCCATGACTCAACTTCCAAATAAAGACAGGGACAATTGTATTGGATTTGGAAGTTGAGTCATGGCAACCGGACTTCTTTCTTGTTCTTGTTGGGCTGAAACGTTTTGCTACTCATCCAAGTACAGTAGCTTCTTCAGTCTGAGGAGAGTTGGTAGGAGATCCCTGATATATGTTGACTTCACTTCCCCCTAATCAGATATAGGCTGGTTAGAAATACAAAGAACTGGGGGGGGGGGAGGGATAATCCCACTCCTGCAGTCCTTCTCCACCCATTGACATGGATAATCAACAGACCTTAACAGTGGTCTTTCTCGTGTGTGGGGGGTCCTAATCTGAGGATAAATGAAAAGGCCGCACGATAAATAGGAGGCAGATGCACATGTATGGCCCTCCCTGATCCCTCTCTCACACCACCTATCTTCTCCGTCCAAAATGAGTCCATCTTTGTCATCGACCCTAACTTCTCCGGGATCACTGAGTACAGTATCTTCACAGATTATGTTCCTGTCTTTAATTGGATCCCGCAGGCTGAAGGCCGAACCCCCTCCTGAGAGGCTGCTGAGATGGGCAGAGCGGCCTGTTTGGGGCGCGTCCCTCTCGGAAGAAGAGGCTTCTTCGCCGGGAAGCCTCCTGTCCCAAGAAAGCCCAAAGCGCGCCGCCCCGCGGGCCACGGCTGCGAGGGCGGTGGTGGCTCGGACTCACAAATATGACACGTCACCCGCGGTCCAAGCGGCCCGGTTGGAACGAGAGGCCGGGGCTGATGGACCCAGCAGGACATTCCGCTCCGGCCCAATCCAGGGGCGGCCTCTGGGAGCAGCGCCGCGCGAAAGACAAGGCGGACCGGGCGAGGCCGCGGGGACAGCGCCCCCTTCGCCCTCGGTGGCCGCTCGGGGCTACTGCACCGCACCCCTCTCAGCCCGCCTTCCGCCGCCACAAAATGGCCGCCCCGCCAGGCAGAGGTTACAAAATGGCGCCCGTGGAAGGGACAAAGGAAAACGAAAGCGGGGGACTGAGAGAAGGACCAAGGGAAGCCGAGCTCACATAGCCCCTCTTTCTTCTTCCTTTGCTCTCACTTTATACCGAAGCAGGCCTGAGCGTGAGGAAGGGGACATGACGGCGCGCCTTTCCGCACCCCTCTTTCCCTCTCAACCCTGGGAGGAAAGGCTGGTCGCGGGCGCCCTTGCTTGCTTCCCGCCACCAGCATCCGACCCCTGACCCGAGCCAAGGTATGCCCTTCGATGCGATCCAGACACACACCTCCCCTCCCCGTTTCTGGAAAGGCGGGGCCCGGCCCCTTTCGGCTTGCTGGCCCGCGCCCGCGCCCCTTTGCAGCAGCAGGCACTCCTCCGCTCGCCGTCCTCCCTCCGGAGCCGGGAACCCCACGCACGACTTTGCCTTCTTTCTGCTGGGCAGGATGACGGCGGCCATCGACTCCCCCTTCCTCCCTCCCTCCTTCCCACCCACCCATCCAGGAGCACCGCGGAGCCAGACGCTCTCCTCCCAGCCCCCTCCTTTTCCCAGTGGGTTGCTGTCCTTCACAAAGCCTTTCGTCCTTTGGTTTTATCCGCCGAACCCCAGGCTTATAATTGTCACCCACTCAAGTCAAATCAAAACCGGCAATCCGTTAGGGGCCGCTCGGAACACACTCGATTCCTCCCGGAAAAGTCCTTT